CTTCTCCCCAGTGCAAGGACCCCCCCCATGGGGGTCCCCTCATGCCCTGGGACCCCCCCTCACCCTTTGTCCCCCCCCAGGTGTCCTCAGAGGGGTCCAGCCGCACCTTCACCACGCTGGTGCTGTGCGAGAAGCCCCCTGAGGAGGGGGGGCCGGCGGTGGACCCCCCCAAAGTCCCCGATGTCCCCTACCCCGAGGACCTGCTGCTCACCAGGCTCTTCGTGCCCGAGGGTCTGCACCGCCTGGGGCTGGGGGGGTGTCCCCGGATGGCTGGGTCCCTCCTGGGGGGGCTGGGGGTCCCCCCTGGGGGAAGTGGTGGGGGGACCTGGATGTCTGGGTCCCCACAGGAGGAGTTGGGGGTCCCCCAGCCGCCTGGGTCCCTCTCGGAAATGGAGCACCCCATGTACTTTGGGGTTGGGGGGGCCTGGTCACCTGGGTCTCCCCAGGGTTTTGGGGGGGGGGGTCCCCGGATGCCTGGGTCCCCCTGCCGGACACCTGGGTCCCCCCCCAGGTGCCTGCGGCCATGTGCTGGAGAAGCTGCAGCCCGGGGACATCGGGGGGGTCACGGCCAAGACCCTGCGGGTGAACCCCGAGAGGCTCCTGCAGGAGCTGCGCCCCCGCCAGGGCCCCCGCCCCAGGTGGGGGGGGATGGGGATGGGTTGGGGGGTGGCTTGGGGTCCCCAAGAGGGTTTTGGGGTTCCCAGGGGTGTGTGGGATATCTGAGAGTGCTCTTGGTGGGGGGTCTTCCTGATTTTGGGGTCCCTGGGGGGGTCTTCCAGGGGTTTCCATGAGTGTGGGGGGTCCTTGGGGGCATTCTTCCCGGTTTTGGGGTACCTTGGGGATCTCTTCACAGTTTTGGGGTCCGGGGGGGGTCTCTATGGGTCTTTGGCTCCCTGAGGGAGGGGGTTCCCCCCACTTTGGTCTCCCTGGGAGGGGTTCTGTGAATGTTGGGGTCCCTGGGTGGGGGGTTCTGTAGATGCTGGGATCCCGGGGGGGGGTTCTCCCCCATTTTGCGGTTTCCCCCATTGTGGTGTTTCCCTGCCTGACCCCCATCGCCCCCCCAGATTGGAGCCCCCCGGGATGGAGGTGGGGGTGGCGGTGCAGGAGCTAGCCCGGCTGGCGGGGGGGGCCCCGGGGGGGCTCCCCCTGCTCGACCCGGTGGGGACCCTGCAGCTGCGGGACCCCGAGGCCGTGGAGGCGGCCACCCGTGCCCGGACCCTGGCCGCCTCGCTGGGCTCCTTCCAGTGCGTCCACAGCCCCCGCTTCCCCCAGCAGGTACTGGGCAGGGTCCGAGGGAGGTGTGGGGGGGGGGGGGGCCGGGGGCCCCCCCCCCCCCCCCTCTCCCTCCCCCCAGTATCCCCAGTTTGCCGCCCGCCAGGAGCTGCTGGAGCAGCTGGAGCATCTCCAGTTCCTGCTGTCGGACCAGTCGCTGCTGCTGCTGCCCGAGTACCACCAGCGTGTGGCTGTGAGT